TACTGCCTCGGAAACCCAAGGAGGGGTCCCTATGAGTCGGGGCCGACTCGACGGCAAACAACAACAACAACAACTTCTCTTTGCTGGTGTTTCCTTTTAATGTCTTTTCCTCCAAATTGAATTTACCAGTGTTGGAAACTGTGTCTTATTGTTGATGGCCACAGCCCCAGCCTCAGCCTGGTATTGCCCCTAGTTGGGGTCCAGGAAGTGGAGGGATGGCTAGATCCTTGCCAGGAGATGTGCCAGCTCAAGTACCATCTGGCTCCTGAGGCACCTGAGGCAACCTGGCAGCCACCTTCCTGTCTTCAGAGGATGCTTGGGCATAAAGAGGTGCTTCTTTTTAGACTCTCTCTGAGCCTTAAACTGACAGTTGAGGTCACCTAGATGGTTAGGTTTCCAGACCTGTGGGCATCCTTGGGGACCTCTTTCAGCTGGAACACTCTAAGAATCCAGAAATGTTGACAGTGAGCCATGTGTGACTCGGTATTGTTTTCTTTCTTTATCCACCTCACTACCAACACCAGGAGTGAACTTCAATCTCGAGCAGTGCAGCCCTAATGGCACAGATCCCTACAAGCCCAAGTGCCCAGAGAGTGATATTACCCGTCACAAACCTGCCTTCCCCGAGTGGCTGACTGTTATATTGCTCTGCCTCTACCTACTGTTCACCAACATCCTGCTGCTCAACCTCCTCATTGCCATGTTCAAGTGAGTCCCCCTCCCCTATGTGGGGTGGGCTGGTGCATCTGAGCAGAGTGGGACAGGCTTTCCCCGTGGCTGCTCCAGCTCTGCTGTACTTCCACAGTCTCTCTGTGTGTCACAAACGATGGCCCCTGAGCCTGGGAAGCCTCTGAGGGCACCTCTAAGACTGGAACATGCAGAATTATTGAATCCATGTGCCTGTTCTATAACCAGGCACTCTACTGCAGGGATGTGTCCTGTTTACCTTTCCCCAAGTGCCACTCTGAGAGCAGCTGGGTATGTTTTGAAGTCTCATCCTTCTCGCTCCTTCCTGGGAACAAGGGTCTGTAGGAGGAAGTTTGAGTTCATAAATACAGAGTTCCTGGCTTGAGGAATGATTGGCACCTCATGGGGATAAGGCTCACCTTGTGCTTGGAGGGGCAGGACACCCTAATAGGGGTGTGGCACATAGCTGCTGGGTAGGGAAATAGCTTGGATTGGACCTGGGGTCTTAGGAAATATGTCTGACTTCTTTTAGCCTCTGCTCTTTTCTCTGTGAAATGGGGAAAATACTATTTAACAGGTGGTGGTGGTTGTAAATAAGACTTTGCATGTGAAAGCTTTGTCATGCAGTCCTTGAATTTTGCAGATATGTAGACTGGGGCTGAATTTGGCAAAGTGACCTGGCCACTGTAGTTAATTCTAAATGATTTACAGCCATATATGATTAGTTGCATATTTGCATAGCTATTGCTGTGTAACAAACTATCCTTAACCTTGGAGACATGAAGCAGCAACCATGCCTTATTTCTCTTAAATCTGTGGGTGAGCTTGATGGGTCTGCTGATCTGGTCTGGGCTCAGCTGATGTTGGCTGGGCTCCCATTTGTATCTGTGGCATGGCGGGTGGACCAGGGGCTGACTGGTCAAGGATAGTCCCAGCTGAGACAACTCACCTCTCCTCCAAATGGTCTCATGCTCTGGTAGGCTAGCCCAGGCTTGTTCTTCCAGTGGTGACAGTGTTCCAAGAGGGACCAGAAGTGAAGACTAGCCTCTGCTTTTTCAACTCCCTACTTGTGTCAAGTCTTCTAGTATCCTGTTGGCCAAAATGCAACATGTGGCCATGCCAAGTCAGCGTAGGAGAGAACTACCACATGATACCAGTTGCCATGGAGTTGACTCTGACTCATGGTGACCCCCTGTGTGTCAGAGTAGAACTGTGCCCCATGGGGTTTTCAAGGACTGATTTTTCAGCAGTAGATTGCCAGCTGGGCTGTCTTTCTCCATGCCCCAATGTCACCTTCATTACCCTGAGGGTTCTGTTCATGTCCCTGCCCCCTACCATCCTCTCCACTTGACCTTGGACCCCCTAGGACCTGCTCCTGCTGCCCCAAAAGTCCACCTCTGACCCCGTTGTGAGCCACGGCTTCCTCAGGCTTATTTTTCACTAGTTCTGGCCCTTGTACAGATGGTTCCATATGGTTTTGCCCATGCAGTTATGGATTTCTTCATTGACATGAGTTAATGTGTTTTGTTGTCGCTCACAGCTTTTTATGAGTGTGCCCCATCTACCTCCTGATCCATTTGCTCAGCTGTTTGAAAATGGTATCAAGGTGCCAAATGTGACTTATTCCTTAATAGGGGTCAGCAGGATAATGACCTCCAAAGATGTTCATATCCTAAGCCTCGAAACCTCTGAATATGTACCTTGTATGGCAGCAGGAATTTTGCAGATAGGATTAAGTTAGGGGTTGTGACATAGGGGAATATCCAGGTGGGCCCAGTGTCATCAAAAGGGAAGGAGGGTGGTGGGAAGGTCAGAGTCAGAGAGGGAGATGTGACAGTAGAAGCAAAGGTTGGAGTGATGCTGTTCCCCACCTTGATTTAGCCCAGTGATACCACTTGAGACTCTAGCTTCCACAACTATAAGGTTATAAGGTGTTTTAAGCCACAGAGTCTTTGGGTGGTGCAAGCAATGAACACGCTTGGATGCTGTCTGAAATATTGGAGGTTCAAGTCCCCCCAGAGGGGCCTTGGAAGAAAGACCTAGTGATCTAAACCAAAAAAACCAAACTCACTGCCAAGTCAGATCTGACTCAGAGTGACCCCTTGGTATCACTATGGAAGTAGATTGCCCCATCTTCCTTCCAAGGAGTGGGTGGTGGGTTTGAACAGCCAGCCTTCTGGTTAGCAGTCAAATGCATTAGGCACTGCACTACCAGAGCTCCTACTTAGTGATCTACTTGAAAAAAATCAACCTCTGAAAATTCTAGGAGGTGCAGTTCTACTCTCACACACATGAGGGCTCCAGCAGCCCGAGCTGATGCCATGGAACTTTTCTGGACAATGAGAAGCCTGAAAGTGCATGCACTATAAGAACTGTGCTATGGAGATCAAAGGTGTGATGGTGAGCGGGGGACTCTCACTGAATTGAGCAGAGAAGGGAGGCCATATTTCTACTCAGCCCAGCCCACCTTCTCTCTGCAAGCCCTCTCTCTATCCTGGACTTGACTCTGACAAGGTTCATCAGCAAGAGGATGTTCCATGTGAATAATGTGTCTGCATGAAGCCTGTCGAAGACACTGCTAGTTCTGTCTGTCCTCAAACCAGAGTCACCTGATAAACTCATTTTAGATTTAAGTGTCAAAAGAATCTCTCTCTCCTGATAAGCATCCATTTTGTTTTATTCCCTAACAAGGATGAAAAATCTAAAATCAATTGGCTCCTTTTTTTTTTTTTTTCTCACCTTGCCTCCCAGGAAGCTCACAAATGTTAAGCTTCCTGGTTGAACGGTCTTTTTCTGCCTTGATAATTGTCATCCCATGTAGTATTTTTTTTTCCCCTTAAATGAGTGTGCATCATCACAGATACTGGGGCAGTGGAGTGTGGTATGTGTTATAAATAAGAGTATTTACAGGTCTCCTTGTTCTTGGGTAACCAGTGTTCCCTTTGCCCCCACCAGCTACACATTTCAGCAGGTCCAGGAGCACACAGACCAGATCTGGAAGTTCCAGCGTCATGACCTGATTGAGGAGTATTACAGCCGGCCCCCAGCCCCGCCACCCCTTATCCTCCTCAGCCATCTGCAGCTCCTAATCAAGCAGGTCATCCTCAAGATCCGGCCCAAGAGGCACAAACAGCTCAGTAAGCTGGGTCTCCTGCTGCATCCAAAGCATAGCCCCTGACCACTTTTGAGTGCAGATAGGGTCAGGGTTGGGCATGGTGGTGCCTATAGGATCCTGGATGCTTTAAAGTTGTGCAGACCAGGCAGGCTATCTTTTCATGCCTATCTCCCACAAGTCTTTAGCTGCATCATCAGGCTGTATTCAGCAGCCCTCTGGGGTGGGTAGTGGACAGGCTTTTCCTGCCACTCAAAATCCAGCCCTGTGCCTGGTGAGCCACTTGCCACCCACTCGGGTCCCATGGGTCAGAGCTTCACCTATCTCTCCCCTTCACTCAAGGGCCCTCAGGTCAGAGCCTCATCTGTCCTTCTCACGTGGAGTTCAGATTTCCTCTGTCTGGTCTACCCAACAGAAAAAAAACTTGAGAAGAATGAGGAGGCAGCTCTCCTGTCCTGGGAGATCTACCTGAAAGAGAACTACCTGCATAACCAGCAGTACCAGCTGAAGCAGAGACCTGAGCAGAGGATCCAAGACATTGGCAATAAGTATGTGACCCACCTGGGGAGGGTCATGATAGCAGATCTGGGTGGGAAACCTCGGCCTCAGGATCTGGGTCCAGTACTCTATCTATGGCCCTCTGGGGTCCTAAGGAAGACTGAGCACTAACTGTGGAGTGGACAGGAGTGTGAAAAGGACCTCACACTGCCTGGAGGGTAGAGCTGGCCCTCCTGACCTCCTGTTAGAAGCCAGGAGTGGGGGAAGGCTGGAAGGGGAGTCTCAGGTAGGCTGGAGAAGGGGCAGATCTAGGAGGCCTGGGAATTCAAGATTACTTTGAGAACAGTTCTATCCTTCCTGGTGGCATGGCCTTACTGTAGCTCTGCTGGGCCTTGGAGCCCAGGCCTGGAGTTTGTGGCCAGTCAGCACCATCTTCCCTACTCTTCTGTCCAGAGTACCAGGTCAGGATTTGGGAAAAGATCTTTCTGATTCCTTCTCTCCACCCAGTAAAGCATAATAGAGTAAGCCTGGCTATCTACATACATCTTATGGTGGGCCAGGCCCTGACCCTCACCCTGGGCCCAGGCTTATCACTGAATGCAGGAGGAGGAGGAGGAGGAGGAGGAGGAGGAGGAGGAGGAAGGGAATTTAACTATGGGCAGTACCTGGCATCTTGTATGGACTGTTCTTTCTAGCTGTGCTGGACATGGGTGTCCCGGAGCCATGTCAGGGAGTGGCCAGGCACATGGCCTCCGGATCAAGTGAGCTGCTCCTCTTTTTGGAGATGTCCTCATGTCTCTGCCTTTCTACACCTCCCTCATTCATCTGTAAAATGGAGACAGTGGTAGTGCCCATTACAGAAAGGTGTTTTGAGGATGGAGTAGGGTTGTGCTGGAGATATCATCAGCACTCTGCAGTAAGCTTGAGGGATTTGGGAGCTGACTAAGGAAAGAGATATGACCATGAGCCAAGAGGTATGTATTGGGCCTGGCACTTTGAAAGGTGCTACATGCAAGGGGCAGTGCCTTGCAGCAGAGACCCTCCAAAGGCAAGTGGTGTAAGGGGATGGGTTGGCAGGAGAATAGGACAAGAGAACCACTGTGAGGAGAAGAGGAATGCAGAGGGGGAACTTACATGTGTAGGTGATATCCCTCAGCAGGTAGGTGGGGAGACTCTGGGTCAGACAGCTCTGAAGAGCAGCAGCTTGGGGTCCTTGTAACTACAGAGTTCTTCTTATCTAAGGTTAGCAGATATTGCTTGCAGTTTCACAGGGTACATGAGGCTCTAAATGTCTAAAATTCTGTTTATTTGGGCTATTTTCAAAAGAGTTGGATGTGTAAAAATTTGAGTTTTGCACCAGTGGGCTTTTTTGCTAATGGTTCCCAGCTTGCTATGAAGACAAACAACCTGGGACAATACACAGGGGCGGTCTTTGTTTTATTTATGTAGTACACTCTGCAAGCATCAGTTGTTTTGTCACTTTTATTGTTGCTGCTGCATATTGATGATGACGACAATGATGATGATGATGGTGTCAATGATGAAGAACTAGCTGATAGTCAAAGCCTATTCTAGCTCTGATGGTCTGTGATCCAGCAAGCATGCCTATTTTGCTTCAATCTAGGGACATTGATGTCCAGTTGAGCCCTTGGTGTTCCTCTGTTTGGGACAGTCTTCTCCCAGGTTGATACAGTACCTGTTCACTCACTTTATTCAGGTGTCACCTTATTCATGGAGCCTTCCTTACCCACCAGACACTCTGCCCCTTACTCTTCCTTTTTAAAATTCTTAGCATTTCCATGGCCTAATGTTGGTTGGTTGACTGGTTGGTTGGTTTGAGGACCACCTGCTCACTCTAGATATGAGCTCTATGAGAGCAAGGTAGAGTCCAACATGTCACCCACATCATCCTCGGATCTACTACAGGTTCTGGTGTCCAGTAGTACCTGGTCAGTGCTGTGGGCCTCTGGAGCCATTGCTGGCCCCAGGCCTGGAAGAATTGCAGATCCAAAGCCTGCTCAGCCCTGACATTCTCCTCTAATTATCACATCAGAGAAGAAGTGCCTAGGGTCTCTGCAGCACTGCAACCCCTTCTTCTACTTGCTTTGGTCAGAGAATGGCCTCAGTTGATGACATTGTTTAGCATCATTTGACTTTGAACAGTAGCTATGTCCAGGCCCAGATGCTAGGGGACGGGTATTTTGGAGTGTCTCAGAAAGGTAGTCTCTGGTTTGCATGTGGGTGGTGGGGGTTTGCATATTGGATACTCATTAATAGAGCCCCAGACCTGGCAGGCCACAGCAAGATGGATGACCACTATAGCAAGAGCTAGAACTCCCATGACTTCAGCTTGCTAAGGGTTTCCTGTGTTTCAGGCATGTTACCAGCATATTCTCATTTAACCATTCTTCACTCTTGATTTTCACCAATGAGGAAACAGAGACCCAGAAGAGTTAGAAAATTTAGTACCCAGTGGCCCCTGCAGGCAGTGCTATCTGGATTTGAACATAGGTCCTGGTGATTTTGAGGTCTTCTGCCTTAAGCATACTAGCCTGAGTCCTAAAGAATCACCCCCAACTGTCAACTTAGCCTATTTATTGTCTCACTGTGTCATAGGCAAGTCAGGAGCCCAAGGCTGGCCAGTTGGTCTGAACCTTCATTATGAGTCTGGGTGCCCAGGGAAGCTGCTGGGCTCCTCCCATTATTACTGGAGGTTGAAAAAGCTTAGTTAAAATATAAATGTTCTTAAGATGAGCTTATGGAGCATGTCTTAGCTTGAATGGTATCTGATGTGCTAATATATTTCTCTCACTGGTTAGAAGCTTTGGTGTATGCACACATGTTGTTGTTGTTAGTTGCTATCAAGTCGTCTCTAACTCATAGTGACCCTTATGCACAGCAGAACGAAACACTGCCTGGTCCTGTGCCAGCCTCACAATCCTAGCTATACCTGAGCCTATCATTGCAGCCACTGTGTTAGCTCATCTCATTGAGGGCATTCCCCTTCTTCACTGACCCTCCACATTACCAAGCATGATATTCTTCTCCAGGGAATGGTTCCTTCTGACAACATGACCAAAGTAGGTGAGACAAAGTATGGCCATTCTTGCTTCCAAGGAGCATTCCAGCTGCACTTCTTCCAGGACAGATTTGTTAATCCTTTTAGCAGACCTTGCATTTTTAGCATTCTCCTCCAACACCACAACTCAAAAGCAACAACTCTTCTTTGGTCTTCCTTACTCATTGTCCAGCTCTCACATGCATATGAGGCAATTGAAAATACTATGGCTTGGATTAGGCACACCTTAGTCTTCAAGTAGACATCTTTGCTCTTCATCACTTGAAAGAGGTCTTTTGCAGCAGATTTGCCCAATGCAATATGTCATTTGATGTTGTGACTACTGCTTCCATTGGTATTGATTGTAGAACCAAGTAATATGAAGTCCTTGACAACTTCAATCTTTTCTCCATTTATTGTGAAGCTGTTCATTGGACCAATTGTGAGGGTTTTTGTTTTCTTTATATTGAGGTGTAATCCATACTGCAGACTGTAGTCTTTAACCTTCATTGGTAAGTGTTTCAAGTCATCCTCACTTTCAGCAAGGAAATTTGTGTCTTCTGTGTATTGCAGGTTGTTAATGAGTCTTCCTCCAATTCTGATGCCACATTCTTCTTCATATAATCCAGCTTCTCAGATTATTTGCTCAGCATACAAGTTGGATAAGTATGGTGAAAGGATACAACCTTGACTCAGTCCCTTCTTGATTTTGAACCATTCAGTATCCTCTTGTTCTGTTCGAACAACAACCTCTTGATCTATGTACAGGTTCCTCATGAGTACAATCAAGTGTTCTGGAATTCCCATTCTTCTCAATGTTATCCATAATTTGTTATGATCCACACAAATGAATGCTTTTGCATGGTCAAAAAAGCATAAGTAAACACCTTTCTGGTATTCTTTTCTTTCAGCTAAGATCCATCTGACATCAATAATGGTATCCCTCATTCCACATCCTCTTCTGAATCCAATTTACATTTCTGGAAGCTCTCTGCTGCAACCATTTTTGAATTATCTTCAGTAAGATTTTACTTGCATGTGATATTAATGATATTGTTTGATAATTTCTACAATCTGTGGGATCACCTTTCTTTGGAATGGGTACAAATATGGAACTCTTCCAGTCAGTTGGCCAGGTAGCTGTCTTCCAAATCTCTTGGCATAACAGAGTGAGTGCCTCCAGAGCAGCATCTGTTTGTTGAAACATCTCAATGGGTATCCCATCAATTCCTGGAGCCTTGTTTCTCACCACTTCCTTCAGTGCAGCTTTGACTTCTTCCTTCATTATCACGGGTTCTTGATTATATGCCACCTCCTGAAATGAATGAACATTGATCAATTCTTTTTGTTATAGTGACTCTATGTATTCCTTCCATCTTCTTTTGATGTTTCCTGCATCATTCAATATTTTGCCCATAGAATCTTTCAATATTGCAACTCTAGGCTTAATTTTTCTTCTCAGTTCATTCAGCTTGAGAAATGCTGAGCATATTCTTCCCTTTTGGTTTTCTAACTCCAGGTCTTTGCACGTTTCATTATAGTAATTGACTTTGTCTGCTCGAGCTGCTCTTTGAAATCTGTTCAGCTCTTTTATCTTATCATTTCTTCCATTTGCTTTAGCTACTCTTCCCTCAAGGGCAAGTTTCAGAGTCCCTTCTCACATCCATTTTGGTCTTTTCTTCCTTTCTTTTTAATGACTTCTTGTTTTCTTCATGGATGATGTTCTTGATGTCATCTCACAATTCTCTGGTTTTCTGTCATTGGTGTTCAGTGCATCAAATCTATTATTTAAATGGTCTCTAAATTCAGGAGGGATATTATCAAGGTCATATTTTGGCTCTTGTGCACTTGTTTTTATTGTCTTCAACTTCAACTTGAACGTGCATATGAGCAGTTAATAGTCTGTTCCACAGTCAGCTCCTGGCCTTGTTTTGGCTGAAGATATTGAACTTCTCCATTGCCTCTTGCCACAGATGTTGTCAATCCAATTCCTGTGTATTCCATCTGGTTAAGTCCACATGTATAGTCATCAATTATGTTGCTGAAAAAAGGTATTTGCAATGAATAAGTTGTTGGTCTTGCAAAACTCTATCATGCGATCTCCAGCATTATTTCTATCACCAAGGCCATATTTTCCAACTACTGATAACTCTTCTTTGTTTCCAACTTTTGCATTCCAGTCACCAGTGATAATCAACACATTTTGATTGCATGTTTAGTCAATTTCAGACTGCAGAAATTGGTAGAAATCTTCAATTCTCTCATCTTTGTCTTTGGTAGTTGGTGTGTAAATTTGAATAATAGTCATATTAACTGGTCTTCCTTGTAGGCATGTGGATATTATCCTATCACTGACAGCATTGTACTTTGGGACATCCTGAAACACTCTTTGTGACAATGAATGCCACACCATTCCTCTTCAATTTGTCATTCCCAACATAGTAGAGCACATGGTTGTCTGAGTCAATATGGCCCAAATCAGTCCATTTCAGCTCACTAATGCTTAAGATACCAATCTTTATGCATTCCATTTCATTTTGACAACTTCCAATTTTCCTAGATTCATACTTTGTACATTCCATGTTCCAATTATTAATGCATGTTTGCACCTGTTTCTACTCCTTTTGAGTAGTCCCACGTCAGCCAATGGAGGTCCTGAAAGCTTTACTCTATCCATATCACTAAGGTCATCTCTACTCTGAGGAGTCAGCTCTTCCCCAGTCAATTTTTGAGTGCCTTCCAACCTGATGGGCTCATGTTCTGACACTATATTGGACAATGTTTGAGGGCTATTCATAAAGTTTTCCAGTAATGTATCAGACAGTGTTTCACTGCTATTCATAAGGTTTACACTGCCAATTATTTGAGAAGTGGGTGGCCTCTTCCTTCTTCCAAGTCTGTCTGGCCTAGAAGCTCCCCTGAAATCTGTCCACCACGGGTAACCCTGCTGACAATTTGCAGCACTGGTGGCGAAACCTCCAGCCTCACAGTAACATGTAAGCCACCACAGGATGACAAACTGACAGACAAGTTTGTCTCCCTTAGTTGTTCCTAACCCCTTTGTGCCCACCTACCTTGGGCCCCAGCCTTAAAATAGAGCCACCCTCAGGCAAAACGCAGCCCCTGAGTCCCGAGCCTGCCTGGCCTTAATATAGAACAGCCTGCAAAAGAAAAGTAGCCCCCGATCCCTAGGCCTGCCAACTTTTGGTCCCAGCCTTAAAATAGAGCTGCCTCAAGTGAAAATTAGCCCCCGATCCCTGGGCCTACCTGCCTCTGTCCCTGGCCTTAAAATAGAGCTGCCCCAAGTGAAAAGCAGCCTCTAAGCCCCAGGGCCACCTATGTTGTGCCCTGGCCTTAAAATAGAGCCACCTCCAAGGGAAAAGTAGCCCCCGAGGCCTGAGCCCAACAACCTTGGGCGCAGGACTTAAGATGCATACATAGGTATTTAGAAAAAATTAATGTGTTTTGATAGACAAAATCTTTCAAAAGATTGAGTGGTGAAGAAATGGTGAAAGAACACTGTGGCCATTTTAGAAGCACTCTGGCTTGATCACCTCCTCTCCCTAGATCTATTGAGGAATCTGTGGCATGGTGGATGGCAGCATGGGGTGCCACCATCCCTCAGCATTGGAGCTGGGCTGATTCTAGTTTCTCATCCCAAAGCAGGCTCTGCCCATCTCCATGATCCCAACTGGCATGCAGAGTACGGGATTGTTGGGTGGTGGGGTCTGGACACTGACAAATTCTATCTGCAAATCTAGACAGTTTCTACATCATATTGAATGAACTCACAGGGGTCTAAATGTGCTCCATCACCTTCTTTCCAACAACCACTGCAGCATCTTTGCAAGGCTGGCTGGAGCAGTTAAAACGAGTAGGAGCAGTTAAGTGTCCTTGTGACATTTAAGCAATACGTAAGTTGGGTGAAGGTAAAGTTATAGGCCTTTATTGAAATTAGTGTCTTCCTTTCTCCCCTGAAAGCCATTTAAAGTGGGTCACATCACCAATTCAACATTATTGGTTACTAAAATGGTTGTTGACTTTGTTACCAAGAATATTACTTGGAGATGAGACTGTAGGGAAAGGAAGTACAAGAAACCCTGGGCAAAAGCAGATAAAGGAGTTTTGAAAAAAGGTTTGGCCACCTAATTATTTTAACTCTAAACACAGTAGGCCAAAGTTGGGTGAAATTCTTATGTTTTAGCAAAATCAGTAAAAAGCAAACAAACATTCCTCAAATGACAATAGCAACTCCCCCACCCCCCCCACCTCCAAACAAGCAAACATAAAACCCAACTGCACCTAGAAGGAGCTTTATCTTTGTGACTTAGGTTCCCAAGCTGGTGTTGTAACAGCCTGAGGGCAAATCCAGGTGAGCCTAGTTTAGGTAGCTGTGAATTTCATGCTCCTGAGGGGTTGTGAGAGTTGGCCTATGCAGATATTCATAAACACTGGTGATTCTCATTATTCATGGATTCTGTATTTACGAATTCACCTATGCAAAAATTTATGGGTGACCCCAAAATCAGTATTTGTGGCACTTTTTGCCATCATTCACGTTTCTGCACATGCAGAACAGCAGCAAATTTGAGTCACCAACATGCATGTTCCTGGTGGAGGTGGAACAAGGCCAAGTCTGCCTTCTTATTTCAGCTCTCATACTGCAAACAAGTGTCCTTTTCACAATCTATTTAATGCCACTTTTTTTTTTTTTTTTTAGCATTTTTGTGCTTATTGCTGTGATTCCACTGTTTCAAATGGCCCCCAAATGTAGTGCTGAAGTGCTGTCTGGTGTTCCTCATTGCAATAAGGCTGTGATGGGCCTTCTAGAGAAAATAGAGGTGTTAGATAAGCTTTGTTCAGGTACAGGGTATGGTGCTGTTGGCCATATGAATGAGTTCAATGTTATGAATCAACAACATGTGCTAGATAAAGCAAATAAAAATAAAAAACCCACTACTATAGAGTCGATTCTGACTCATAACGACCCCCATTAGGTTTCTGAGGCAGTAAATCTTTATGGAACTAGATTGCCCAGTCTTCCTTCCAAAGTGGCTGGTGGCTTTGAACCACCAGTGTTCTGGTTAGCAGTCAAATGCCTTAGGCACTGTGGCACCAGGGCTCCGTATATGTTTGATAAGGTGTTTTTAAATAGAAACACACATGAAAGAAGATTATGTACTGATTAGTTGATTAAAATGTTGTAACTAGACCCACAGGAACCTCACTCTGTGTTTCCCCTGGAGAAGTGGCTCGGTATTCAATAATTCAGTTTGTGGTGACTATAGAATATGTTGTTAGTTGCTGTCAAGTTGGCTCTGACTCACATAACAGAACAAAATGTTGCCTGATCCTGTGCCATCTTCATGATCATTGGCATCTTTGAGTCCATTGGTGTAGCCACTGTGTACCTTGAATGCCTTCCAAACTAGCAGCTCATCTTCTAACACTATATCAGACAATGTTTTATTGTGATCCATAGGATTTTCATTGGCTAATTTTTGGAAGCAGGCCTTTCTTCCTGGTCTATCTTAGTGTGGAAGCTCTGGTAAAACTTGTCCTTCATGGGTGATCCTGCTGGTATTTTAAATACTTGCAGCATAACTTCCAGGATGATAAGCCACTACAGTAGGGCACACCGACAGACAGATGGTAGTTATAACACGAATAACAAGAATTGACTGCAGTTATCCATGAAAATGCCTATAGAAGCCTGGGGAATTCATTTCCTAAAAGATCTTCCCATCTGGGGCATGAGGCCCTGTTCATTTCATAGCTGAGACATATATTATAAATAATTTTCTAATTAAGAAGGAGACTGGAGTTAGAAATGGTACAGAGGTCTTTGTATCTGACCAGGCCATCTGCAGATGGGGGTTATATTTTGTAAATCCAAGGGCCCCCCAGCCTGCCCTTGATGGATTCAGCTGTGATGTCTTACAGGGTTGATGCCATGGTGGAGCTGCTGGATGTGGACCAAATGAAGAGGTCGGGCTCCATGGAACAGAGGCTGGCCTCTCTGGAGGAGCAGGTGGGACCTCTGCTTATGGGGTATGTGTTTGTGTTGGTATCAAGAGTGAGCACTCTGGGAACATGACAGAGAGAAGAGGGCTGTATGTCAAGGCAACCTTTCCTAGTGAAAGGGGCACCATCTTTGTCCTTCAGAATATTTCTACCCAAAGTCTTCTTTGAGCTCCAACACATTGTAAAAGGTGCTCCTTGCTCTGTCTGGAGTCCCTAAGGGGTGCAGATGGTTAATGCACCCAGCTGCTAACCAAAAGGTTAGCAGTTCAAGCTCACCCAGAGCACCTCGGAAGGAAGACCTGACAATCTACTTCCAAAAAATCAGCCATTGAGAACCCTATGGAACACACTTCTGCTTGGAAAAAAGTGGAGGCACCAGAAGTTAGAGTTAACCTGATGCAACTGGTTCAACTGGGTCTGAGGGCATAGGCTTCTCATCTGTCACCTCCTTCTGTCTTTCTTGGAGACTGGAGTCTGAGTTGGTGCTACCTCAGAACTCAAAGTCTGCACCTTGACCACCCAGGCAAAGAGAACTTAGAAACTTAAGGTGATCTTTCTGCACTTTCTCAGAGAGGGTGAGAGGGACTGTCACAGGGGACAAGGCAAGATTGCATTTGGACTTCTGAGTGGATGGATTGGACTGAGAAATAATACCAGTAAGGAAAGTGTGGACTTATTGGACACACCCTACATGATTGATATATGGGGTCATAGTGGTAGAGTTTGAGCGTAAAGGGAGCTTGCTATTAAAAGAGGAGGTGCCAATGGGGCCAAGAAAGACAATGGCCAATAGGACCAAGAAAGAAAGGTGCAGTTGTAGTGAGTGGGGATAACACTGACCTGGAGTCAAGTGTTCCCTGACTTGTGGATCTGGAGTGTGCTTTGCCTGTATGTGGTCCACGAGTAAGAGAAAATGGGATATGAGCAGATCAAGACACCTGGAGGTAGAGAGGCTGTGGGGCAAGAGGAGATGAGGAGGGGCTAGTTAGGCAAGAGTTCAGAGAGGGATGGTGGGCAAGGAGGGAGGAGCCTGGGGGAAAGACCTCAATGCTGAGGCTGACCCCTGTCTGGGCCTTGAGTTGGCATTGGCTGGGGTCCTGCAGCAGCTCAGTGCAGCTGATTGATGTCTGCGGAGTCCTGGGTGGGACAGACCACTGCCGTGCTCTTGTGTTTTCTCTATGTTAGTATGGAGGGGGCAGAGCATGAGCTCACCCCCATCCACTCTGCTTGGCACTCGTTCTTTACATCTGGGGTATCACCCCCTCCACCCTCTCCCTCAGTGCCCATTGATGGTTTGTTTGCCAGCAGGCCCACACCCCAGCTCCCAATCTCTCAGGCTGGGATGGGCAGCCTTTTTTAACATGGGGTTCAGAATCATCACTGAACAAGTTGGCCAGGACCTTGGCACCTCAGTTTTGCCGTGGACCAAAATTTCTTCCCTTCCTCACTCCCTCTCTTTCATTCATGTTTCCTATGCACTTTCTGTTCTTGTCTGGAGTTGGCCTCTGAATGCCCAGGTGAAGAAGCCATTGTCCTGCCCTCACTGGCCGCAAGCTGGGGGTGCAGGTATACTGTCACAGTGCAGGGAGCAGGACTGACACAGTGTTGGGAGGTCTACGGGCTTCTGGGGAAGTTGCAAGGCCACAGAGCATGGTCAAAGTAGTTAACTTGTCTTGGGTGTGCCCAGTCCCAGCAGTAATTTGTGCCTCATGAGTGAGTGGGCCCTCAGATGGTGTGGTGGTCAGTAGCCAGTCCCTTTTGGGAGACAGGATGGCTTTCAGTGAGTGTGCCAGGATCCCCAAGGAGTGAGGACTGCCAGCCTCTTCAGGGGTGGGCAGGAGAGCCAGAGGGGGTGGTGGGCAGTTGGTGTGCTGTGAGGTGGGGCTGTAGTTGGCATTAACCAGATTTTTGGGACATGACAGATGGCTCAGACAGCTAGAGCACTGCACTGGATCATGAGGGCCCTGAGGGATGGTGGCTTTGGCTCAGAAGTGGACATCCCAACTCTAGGTGAGTGAGGGGCTTGGGCAAAAGTGGGCCTCCCCTGCTGTGTGCTTTATACTCTGGAGTCTGTTGGAGAGAGAGGTGATGCATGGCTGTACCTGCTTGTGCTGGTATCTGTTTCTGAAGCTACCCAGGGCTGCTCTAGACCTGCCCCTTGGGAACCTGAGCCCACCCTCCAGATGCCAACTCCTAGACTCACACTGGTCCATTGCCCCTGTCCCTGTCCTGTACCATGCTGCTGAGGAAGGGCATCCCAAGAGACTAGCACTGCCACAAAGTGTCAGGAAGCAAAGTCCCTTTTCCTACATGTACAACTGGTCAAGAAATGGACATGAGTGACCTCTCAGATGTCACTGGCTCCAGAGATGCCAATTCAGACTCATTAATCAGCTTGAGCATAACTAATGACAGGGACCTTTGCTTGTGGCTGCTACACAGAGGCTGGGAGAATGCTGATCCTGACCCTGGTCTCTGAGGAATTGCAGGCAAAATGAGGTCCTTCTAGGGTTCAGGAAAAGCATGGTCATCCATCCCAGGACTGCACTAGGGAGGCCACAGGATGACTTGGGAGCCTGTTCTTGACACTGCTTGGCTGTCAGGGGCCAGAGAGGTAGAGAATCCCAGTGTTAAAAGTGGTAACCATAGAAGGTGCCCATGCCCTGTGGGCGAGGCCTTGTGTTAGGCTCTGCAGCACCGTCCTCGGCACCCCAGAAGGCCCCTGAGGAGCAGGACCACATGCCAGGTGGCAAGCAGAAGGTGGATGATGGCAATGACCTCTACCATGTGAATGCCCGCCATCTCCTCTACCCCAGCTGCCAAGTAACACGCTTCCCTGTGCCTGATGAGAAGGTACCCTGGGAGGTGAGTGCTATCCTGAAGGAGGGGCTGAGGGCTATCCCACCTGAAATGGCCATGGATGGGTTTAATAACAATGGCCTGGTCATAGTTTTATCTGCTATGTCCTATCATTGACCTGGTCTCTATCATGCCACCCAGTGGGAGGGCACAATGGCAGTCCATGTGTGATGGATGAGGAAACCAAGGCACACAGAGGTCCAGTGACATGGACCACACAGTAGAAGCAATGGGGCTGGGTTTTGGGGCGAAGAGCCCTGCCCCAGAGTTATGCTCTGGCCTGCTGCACCACATGGAGAGTCCATCCTACTCTCCCTCCTCTTCCCTCCTAACCCCTTGCAGCCCAGAGCTGCCCCAAGGCCAGACTTTTGCCCAGCCATGCTGGCCCTGCCTATCCTAGATCCCACCATCCATAGTGGGGCCTGACCCCCAGTGTGCTGGGCAAGTAAGCGGGAGAGATGGACACTGGCCCCCTGCGCAGCCGTCTCTCTGGCCTTTGGGGAAAACTCTAGACCTCTGTCCCTAGACTCTCTGGTGGCATCCCTATTCTTGTGCCTCAATTTCCTTATCTTCAGGGCTCCACAGTTAGATCCATTCTCATCTCTATAGCCCAGCTCAGACCTTCAGTGTTGGCTGCTAGTGTCCCTAGGGGCTGTGTGTGGCTCATTCTTTTGATGAGACAGTTCCTCTCCAGAACTGCCCTTGCTCAAAGCTATTTGTGTGCACTTGTGGGGTTGGTCTTGGGGTCCAGGCTGAGGAGCAAGCCTTGGCTGAGAGCACTGTAAGGAGAGAAACCTCCTTCTGATCTGTCATGGGTACCCAGCTTGAGAAGACAGGGAGGGGAGATGGGTGGTAAAAAGCTGAGGGTAAAACCACCCCATATTGCTGCAGATGGAGTTTGTGATCTATGACCCCCCTTTCTACACAGCCGAGAGGAAGGACAAGGCAGTCATGGACCCAGTGGGAAGGTGAGAGTTGGCTGCCTCCTTGGTCTGCCTCCTTCAGCTCTGCCTCATGATGGGGTGGGATGGGGAGGAGTAGAGCGGAGGTCCTCCACAGAACCGCCTTCTGTGGAATTTTGCAATGGAACCATCATGGTGATCCCACCCTGCCTGAAGAAGGTCTGCTATACCTCTGGGCTGGGATGTCCATCCTACCCAGAGACTCTGTGTCCTGGGACAAGAAGAGGCCATGTGGACTCACTAGGAGGGAGATGGCTGAGTAAATTGCAGGCCACTTTGGGTGCAGCCTGTTGTTCTGTGTCTTTGCTTTGAGGGCCAGGCCCAAGAGCAACCATACAGGCCACCCAGGGGACTCAGAGTGGAGGCCTGTGGACCCTTAGCTGGGACCTTCCACATGTCCTCAAAGTGCCACTTCTTGAGGTCTGCTGGTCAGGGGCCAGGTCTTTTCTCTGTTTCCAGCTCCCTGGAGATGCTGTCCAAGATCAGTTACAACACCATGGATGGGCTGGTGGACCGCCGGAGCTTTCATGGCCCCTATGCAGTCTGCGATGGCCTCCCCCTGTGAGTGCAGCAGCCTGGGAGCACATTCCTCCACCATGGTCCACCTGCTGTTCCCCTTGAGCCCAGGACTTGGTAGGGCTTTGCCTTTGGGGTTTTGCTTCTAAGGTCAAGTTTCCTACATCCACTTGAAGCATTTGCTCAGCATTCCCACCCTGAGTCATCCTTAACACATTCTCCAGAAGACAACATGGGGAGATGGGGAGGGCAGCAGCTGTCCCAGCTGGATCTTAGGCTATGCTTTGTTCCTCAGTCCTGATTAACCTTCTTGGACTTTGATTTGGACAGCAGTAACACAGGGATGATTGTGTCCACCGACTCAATAGTTCTATGAAAATGACAGCAGTGCATTGTGAAAGCACCATGTAGGGGGAAGAGTGGCCCCAGGGGAAGGATGGTTATTGCTGTGTTCAAAGGATGGTCATGTTTCCCCACCATCATGTTATCCATATGGACTGGTGTTGCATCCCATTTTACACAGAAGGAAAGACAAGTGTGAAGAACTCAGTGGCTTGTAGAAATCTTGTCTAATGGGCATTTGTGGAACCCCTACATATGCTAGACTCTAGGGGTTCAGAGAAGAAGCTTTCTGTGCCTGAAGGAGCTTAAGGTGTAGTGGGAGGCCTGGCACTAGGGGCTGTCAGGAGGGGCCGTCAGAATTCAGAGGAGGGCAGGATTGCTGGTGGCCTGAGGAGTACCCCAGAGCTGGAGGGAATTGAGGGTAGTGGGTTTTTGGGAAATGCTCTAAAACAAGAAGCCATAGTTGTGTACGGAGATAATGGAGATGGGTGGAGGTGAAAATAAAGATCAGACCAGGATCATAAAATGATCCAGATTTTTTTGCCACATTTTTTGTAACAGGTATACCTAAATTATATTCCTAATCTTGGTTTGGGAGCTCTGGTAGCATAGTGGCTAAGACACTTGCCTGCTAACCAGACGGCTGGCGGTTCAAACCCACCAGCCACTCCTCGGAAGGAAGGTTGGGCAATCCTACTTCCGTAGTGATACTGCCTCGGAAACCCAAGGAGGGGTCGCTATGAGTCGGGTTTGACTCGACGGCACATAACAACAACAACAACAATCTTGGTTTACTCTAGCATGACTAGTAGTTAATATATTTTGGAATTTTCTTTGGTGAATGAATGTTGTTGTTGTTATGTGCCATCAAGTCGGACCCGACTCATAGCGACCCCTCCTTAGGTTTCCGAGGCAGTAGCACAATGGAAGTAGATTGCCCCATCTTCCTTCCGAGCAGTGGCTGGTGGGTTTGAACTGCCAGCCTTCTGGTTAGCAGTCAAGTGCTTTAGCCACTGAATAGGTCTACATAAAAAGTAGGAGGAGCTCTGGTAGCATACTGCCTAAGGCATTTGACTGCTAGCAAGAAGGCTGACAGTTCAAACCCATCAGCCACTCCTCAGAAGGAAGGTTGGGCAATCTACTCCCATAGTGATACTACCTTGGAAACCCAAGGAGGGGTCGCTATGAGTCGGGTCCAACTCAACAGCACATAACAACAACAACAGCAACAACAGGACTGGCTTTAGCCCCAGACTTTTAGCTCTGTATGATAAACCATAGGGTGAAGCCATGGGGCAAAATAGGGTTTAGGGAGGTGAATCTGGTTGTGGTATGAAGAATGATGAGAGTGCAGGAAGAGACTTGTAAGTGCCCAGTGCAGAAGCCCAGCAGGAGTAATGAGGTAGTGACACCCTGCTCTAAAAGATGGTAGTAGAGGAATGGGCAGGTGCGAGATAGGCAAGACAGGAGGAAGGACCAATTAGATTTTAATCTCACTGCTGTTGAGTCAGATCCAACTCATAATGACCCCCTCCTTGGGTTTCTGAGGCAGTATCACTACAAAAGTAGATTGCCCAACCTTCCTTCTGAGGAGTGGCTGGTGGGTTTGGACTGCCAGCCTTCTGGTTAGCAGTCAAATGCCTTAGGCACTATGCCACCAGAGCTCCTTGGATTTTAATAGACTAAAAAAAGGTTTTATACAATCAGTGTTTTTATATAGTTTATTTATTAATTATATTTTTATTATATATTTTTTAGGTATATTTTCCTACTATGAAATCATAAAGACACACTTTTCTATTTTCTTTTAACAAATTTTAAGATTAGGTGTTTTCATTGGGTCTTCAATATATCTAGAAATTGCTTATTTAAGATGTGTATAAAAACAAAAAAACCCTCACTGCCACTCTTCCACCCTACTGGGTTTCTGAGGCAGTAAATCTTTACAGAAGTAGATTGCCCTGTCTTCCTTCCGAGGAGTGGCTGGTGGGTACAATTTTATTTTATGTTTCTAAATGAAAAGTGAATTGTTCCAACACTTCCTTCTATGATCCCCTACCGCCTGAGGTCTGGTTTCTCCTCTGAGGCATACCAAAGCCCTGAATGTATTTGTGTCTGTCTCGGTGCTCACGGTTCTGTTCCACTCATCTCTGTACAGGATCACACCACTTTATTTGCAGTAAGTCTTGATTCCTGTGTAGGCATGTTTTCACTTTGTCTTTCCTAGTCTTGACCTTTTGTTTCTCTACAAGTTTAAAGGTCAGTTTGTCTAGTTCTATGACAAATCCTTTTGGAATCTCGAAAAGAATTTTATTGAATTTATAGAAAAAGTTGGGGAGAACTGACACTTTCACAACGATGAATCTTCTGTGAATATGCTCATCACCATTTATTTGGGTCTTGTCTTTATCATTCTTTAAAGTTTTATAGTTTTCCTTCATAATGGTCTTTTTTTTTTTTTAAGTTTTATTCCTAGGTGCTTTATAAACTTTTGTTGTTATTGCAAATGGTATATTTTAATTATATTTTCAAATTTGCATTTTATGAATGTGGAAGTGTTACTGACTTGTATGCTGACTTTTTATGCAGTAACTTTGCTAAACTTTCTTAGGAGTTATGTAAGTTTGCAGATTTTCTATGATCATATAATGTGTAAATAACAATTTTATTCTTCCCTTTATAATCGTATGTCATTCATTTTCTTGCCTTATTGTGTTGGGTAAAATCTTCAGTATAGTGTTGAATATTGGTAGTATTAGCTGACTTGTGTGTCTTGTTTGTGACTTAATGAGAATGCTTCCAGTGTTTCACCATTAAGTATGATATTTGCTAAACCATTTTTACAAATACCTTTTATCAGAGTAGGAATGTTCTCTTCTGTTCCCAGTTTGCTGGGAGTTTTTATTTTGTACATTTATCAAATGCAATGAATTAGTTAGTCCTTGGTCTTGCAAAATTCTATCATGTAATCTCAAGTGTCATTTCTATCACCATGGCCATATATTTCAACTAGCTATGCTCCTTCTTTGTTTCCAACTTCTGCATTCCAGTCACCAGTAATTATCAACACATCTTGAGTACATGTTTGATCAGTTTCAGACTGCAGAATTTGGTAAAAAATCTTCCGTTTCTTCATCTTTGGCTTTAGTGGTTGGTGCATAAATTTGAATAATATAGTATTAATTGGTCTTCTTTGTAGGTGTATGGATGTTATATTATCACTGACAGCACTGTACTTCAAGATAGATATCCTAAGTTCAGCCCCTCCACCACCAGTACCACTGGATCCCATGTTCTGCTCCTCTCCCACCATACTAGATCCTGTCTCCTGCCCCTGCCCCACACATCAGGTCTTGTCTCCTGCCACCTTCTCAAGGACTTCACTTGAAAGATGTAGTCCTTCTGTCTCCTGAATTGTCAGTTTTTCCATCTCTTGAATTGCTCCCATCAGCATCATGTGCTGTATTAGTTCCATCTTGCAACTAACTTTCCTTCCCTTTGCCCCACATCCCTCCCTGTCGTGGTCCCACTTCTCTGGGCTCCTTCGGAGGAAAGCTCTTGGAATGAGTGGTCTTTGCCCTAGTTTTTCTCCTGTTCTTTTTTTTTTTCCCTATAACATTTTTTTTTTTAAGTCATGGTAAAATATTTGTTGTTATTGTTAGGTGCTGTTGAGTTAGCCCTGACCTATAGCAATCCTGTGTAAAATGGAATGAAACACTGCCTGGTCCTGTGCCATCCTCACAATCCTTGCTATGCTTGGCTCCATCATTGCAGCCACTGTGTTCATCTATCTTGTTGGGGGTCTTCTGCTTTTTTATTGACCCTCTATTTTATCAAGCATGATAACCTTCTCTAGGGAGTGGTCCCTTCTAACAACACAAAATTTACCATTTTTGCCTTTTTCAACTATACAATCCAGTAGCATTATTCACACTCACAATATTGTACAATTATCACTACTATTTGTTTCCAGATGTTTATCACCCCAAACAGAAACCCTGTAGCCATTAAGCCTTTCATGACCCATTGGACATATAGTGCACACCTACATTTTTTTTTCTCTTCTGGGGTTTATTGGGCAGCTGCTTTCCCACTGACAGTGCATGCATCTGTCATGAGGGAACCTGTATAACTGCTAGAAATGGAAGAAATGGGCATGTGCCACAAATTACTGCTTTTATGTCACCTTATTGAATGAGGTGATACATCCTGGAAGTGTGATTTTGCAAAACTTTTGTCTCTTTTGGCTTTTTCACTGGGAGATAAGCCTTGTAAACATATTTTTGGGTTCCTGTGTATTATTAGGAGCTGTGGTGTTGCTATGGTTAAGGCATTGGGTTGTTAACCAAAAGGTTGGCAGTTTAAATCCACCAGATGCTCTTCTCTGTGGAAGAAATACAAGGCAGTCTGCTTCCTTAAAGATTTAAAGCCTTGGAAACTCAGTGGGGGTTGCTATGAGTTGGAATTGATTTGATGGCAGTGAGTTTGGTTTGGTTTTTTTGTGGGTTATCTGGATGCTGTCTTTCCTGAGATGATTCCATGTTTGGGTGAATACTGCATTTCCCAACAACCTAAATTTTACACACCTGTCAAGGGATCTAGAAAGCAGGGCAGAGCTCAGGGAAACATATATATATGTAGCTCACTATTCTACCCCTTGAGTCCACAGGGACATATGTGTCCCACATAATCCTACTCCAGAGTTAAGAGGAATATATGTATCCCATATGATCCTACCCCCAAGTCCAGAGGGACATTGTCTCAATAAGATGTAGCAAAATCCAGATTTCATAACAAAATATCAGAAATGCTCCTTTATTCATCATGCCTTCCATTAATGAAAACACATAGTATCAACAAAAAATTCAAAGTGGAAATAATTGGGTCATGAAAGGGTTAAGCAATAATTTCCCATTCCTCTCTGCCCCCAAGCCAGTGGCAGCCACCAATCTATATCTCTATGCATTTGTCACTATAGACATTTTACACAATTGGGATCATATGATATTTGTCTTTTTGTGTCTGTCTTTTTAAGATTCACCCATGTTGTAACATGTATCAGAACTTCATTCCTTTTTATGGTGAGTTAATATTCCATTGTATGTATGCACCAAATTTTGTTTATCTGTTAATTTTTTGATGGGCATTTGCATTGCTTCCACTCTTTGGCTTTTGTGTATAATGCTGCAATGAACATTGGTATACAAGTATCTGTTTGAGTCTTTGATTTCACTTCTTTTGGATATATATGCCAAGGAGTGGAACTGGCAATTACAACATGGTAATTCTATGTTTGACTTTTTGAGGAACTGCCTGTTTTCCACAGAAGTTGTCCCATTTACATTTTTACCAGCAATGGACAAGCATTCCAATTTCTACACATGCTCACCAACACTTGATAATTTTCATTTTTCTCATAATAGCCATCCTTGTGGGTGTGAAGTGGTATCTCGTTGTGGTTTTGATTTGCATTTCCCTAGTGACTAATGATGCTGAGTATCTTTTCATGTGCTTATTGGTCATTTGTATATCTTCTTTGGAGAAATATCTATTCAAGCCCTTTTTCCAATGTTTTGGTTAGGTTGCTTGTCTTTCTGTTCTTAAGTTGTAGGAATTCGTTATATAGTCTGGATATTCAACATGATTTCTGAATATTTTTACCATTCTGAAAGTTGTCTTTTCACTTTCTTTTATTATGTCCTTGACGCACAAAAGTCGATTTTCTTTATTTTAATGAAGTTCTTTTTATCTATTTTTTTCTTTTGTTGTTTGTACTTTTGGTGTTATATCTAAGAAGCCATTGCCATATACAAGATTTACCCCTATGTTTTCTTCTATGAGTTCTGTGGTTTTAGCTCATATAACTAGGTCACTGATCCATTTCAAGTTGATTTTCATATATGGTATGAAAATTTCATAAGGATCCAACTTCAATCTTCTACAAATGGAAATCCAGGTATCTCAGCACCATTTATTAAGACTATCCTTTGCCCATTGAATGGGCTTGTACCCTTCTCAAAAATCAGTTGGCCATAGATGTATGGGGTTATTTCTGGACTCTCAATTCTATTATATTGGTTTATATGTCTATCCTTAGCAGGACCACAATGTACTATAATTACTGTGCTTCATAGTACATTTTAAAATGAGGAAGTGTGAGTCATCCCATTTTGTTGTTTTTTTAAGACTGTTTTGGCTATTCAAGGCCCTTTGCAATTCCATTAGGAATTTAAAGATCAGCTTTTCCATTTTTGCATAAAAGGCTCTGGTGGAGTGTCACTGGTTTCTAGCACTTGTTGGTTTGCTTTATTAGATTTTATGGAAGGGAAGTTGTAGAATCTGGCTTCACTCTACCATCATAAACTGGAAGGCGAAGTTTGCTTTTAGGGATTGTTTTTTTCCAGGCAGCAAGTGATATGAAGGGAGGGGGAGAGGTGGAGATCATGATGGGGGCTGTGGAGCTGAGGCCACGAGGAAGGGTACAGGAGTGGTGTGGAGGAGTCAACAGAATAAGTCATGAGGGGCTGGGGCTGGTAAATGGAGCAGAGAATAGATGAGTGAGATGGAAGTCTCACATCATTAATATCACTGATGAGTTTTTTCCGCTTATCTTAGTGTTGACTTCACATGAGCCTTACCCAGGTTCCAGAATTTGATATTTTTAATAAGACCTGGTGGTACAAAGGAAATGGGGACCCCATCCCCAACAGAGGAAACATCTAGGGTATCCTCTTTTGTCCATGGTTAGTGCCCCCTGCTCAGTGTATAGCACAAGATTCTGTCCATGCCTGGCCCTCCCGCACTGCCAGAGTGGAGACATCTCACACGTGCATCTGAGGCCTTCAGACTCAGCCATGTGCCATCCACACTCTATGGGAAGAGATGGCTATTTCAGCCCTTCACTGGCTACTCCCTGGAGACCCCTTCCTTTTCCAACTAACTCAGTAGAACCTGGAGTCCTGGACCTCAACCCTTGGAGCCCAGGAACTAAGATTTGCCTTGTGGTGATCCCACATGGACAAAAGATCATGGCTAGGCTGTGTGGAGGGGCTCTTAAGGTATCCTGGGGATTCTTAGCCAAGACCCCTACCAAGTGCCTACCTCTATGCTTCACGCTGGGGCAGTTGCTTGAGTTGAGAATTTGGAGCACACCACACCTACTGTCTCTGATCACTGTCCCCCAGAGCCTACCGTCCTCTCTGGCCTGCACTCCCTGCCCTGACTGTTCTATCCTCAGTGGGGGCAGGCTGAGTGAACTCCTCTCTGCCTAGGAATCCCATGGGCCGCACGGGGCTGCGTGGGCGTGGGAGACTTAGCTACTTCGGACCCAACCATGCACTGCATCCAGTCGTCACACGGTGAGTCCCTGCCATCTGGCACCAGGCACCACTCAGGCCTCATCTCGTGCTCTCTAGGGGTTGCTAAGAGGGCTATACCTGTACTGGGTGCATGTCTTGGGTGTTTTTATGGGGTGGGCCTGTGGGTGAATTTGGAAAAACCCTGACACATAGAGGGGAATGTCTGCACCTCTCACCTCCTTGAGAGAACACCTGGGTCAGGCCCTGACCCTTATTAGAGCACCCTGCTGGGACAGGGCAGAAAGATATTAGTAGGGCCCATGACCAAAGACAAAAATTACAGAAAATACAAAAAAAAGTAAAAGAGAAAATAAAAATATATGTGATCCCATTATCTAGCAATGTTAATACTTTTTAATTTATCCTTCCAGAGGTACACTCACATCCACACACATTCACATCCACATATAGACACATATCCATACATATATATATACACACATGTGCATGTATGTACCCACATAAACACACACACATTCACACATTTATTCATCCACATAAATACACACACACATACATATATACACACATCCACATACATATACACATCTATATGTACACATCTACACATCTACACTCCCACATATAAGCACACATTCAAACACATACATATATATACACACACATATTGTGTACACATGCACACATTTACACACACATATTCACACCCATACACATACATATATCCACACACCCAAACTTAGATACATATATCTACACATCCACCTGTACATACACACCCCTTAATTCCCTTACCACCTGCCCATCCCTCTCAGGCCTCCCCACTGGGTGCAGATGCATGCTCCATCCTTGAGGGGCTGTCTGGGGTACTTGCTTGTCCTTGCTACACGGTGCTGTGAGCTCACACCAGCATTTTCATAAAGTCATAAAAGTAGGATAGTGGGTCAGAGAGCATGGACTTCTTTAACATTTTGATGTAGAAAAAAAATCCCCAAAAAAGGCTTGACTACTTTCTAGTACCAACAGTTTAGAGGAGTTGGAGGGCTATTGTTTAAGTGGCTTTATCTCAGTCCTTTCCTGGGACAGAATCCTGAGTAGAGAAAAAAAGTTTGAACTAGCAGTTGGTGGCAAGGAAGGCAGGGTGCAGGTGGAGGTGGGGGGGTGTGCCATCGTCCTGACCTCTGCTGATATAAGAGGAGGGTGGACATGCCATCAGAGATTCCGTGGTGGGATGGGTGAGCCTTTCTTGCTTGCAGGTGGCGACGGAACCAGGATGGGACCATCTATAGGAAGAGCATCAAGAAGATGCTGGAGGTGCTTGTGGTGAAGCACTTGGGGTCAGAGCACTGGGCACTGCCAGGGGTGAGTCCCCACCAGCCTGGCTGCTCCACTATCCCTCACCAGTTGGTCCGGTCCCTTGACCACTCCACCCTCTACTGAAAACCCGCTGCAGGACAGTCCCCACAGTGTGGGGATGTTGACCTGCACAACCTTATCCTGGATTCTGAATTGCATCCAGTGCTGGAATGGCTGATGTTTCCCTTCTGGTGCCTCATTTTCCACTTGAGAAAATGGAGGTCCAGATCCTCTTTTTGTTTATTCTTTGGTGAATAAGCACTTGTTAAAGGAACCCTCATGATGCAATGGTTCAGCATTTGTATGCTAAGTAAAAGGTTAGATAGAGGTTGGAGCCTATCAGCCACTGCCACAAGTATGGCAGTCTGCTTCCATAAAGATTACAGCCTTGGAAACACTGTGGGGGTTGTTATGAGTTGGAATTGACTCAATAGCAACAGGTTTCTTTGTGTGTGTGTGTGTGTGGGGGAGCATCTGTAGCATACCCCATTCAGTGGAGGCAAAAAGAGTCCCCTGGTGGAGCCCACAGGGGTCCTGGGCACAAGGCATGCACCTTCTCTCCCTCCACCATTGGGGCCTGCGCTGAGCTCTATAGACAGGAAAGCATTTCCGGGCATGAGGAGGGGGGTGGCAGAGGGATGGGGTGCAGCCCCCGAGGGAATAACAGAATCAGGTCATGGAAATTTGTAGGCTGTTCCTGTCAAAAGTGACTATGAACTGCTGATGCTCTGCTCCCATATCAACCCCTGCACCTCTGCCAGGCTGATATTTACTGAAGAGTCAGGACAGGCTCCCTGTGGTCTGGGGGATGAGAGGGACCTGCATTCTGCATCTGAACTCAGTCTGTACCCTGAGGGCTGGCGTCCCCTGTGTGCCTGTTCTGGGAGTTTGGGCCCTACCACAATCTAGCAGAGAGCCGTGGTGGATACTCAACACCCAGTGCCTGTACTAGGTGGCTGGGACATGTTAGTGGGGTTGGTACAGGCTAGACAAGATTCAGGATGAAGCCCAGCTGCTGCCATCCATCTGTCCGTTCATTTTTCCAGGGCAGAACCTAGAGTCTGCAGACCAAAAGGGAAAACAAACTCACTGCCATCAAGTCAATTCCAACTCATAGTGACTCCCATTGGGTTTCTAAGGCTGTAAATCTTTGCAGAAGCAGACATCCTCATCTTTCTTCTGCAGAGTGGCTGGTGGTTTGAACTACCAACTTTTTGATTAGTAGTCAAATTCCTTAACCACTACACCACCAGAGACAGGACACACTTTCCCAGCCAAGGGAAGGGCTTTCTGAGCACTTGGCCACAGGACCCTGAAGACTGGCCCCTCTTCCAAGTGGGCTCCCCTCCTGCACACAGACCACATGGGAGTGCCCTTCCCACTATCTACATTCTGGCCTCTCCACACAGGCACCTAACCCAGCTCACCTCATTTCTGTTCATGTATGTGTTGAGCCAGGCTTCTGTCTACTCTGGGTTGGGCACCAGGGTCTTCACAATGAGTGTGCATATGCCCCATGGGGTGTGCATGCAGTGGGGACAGAAGGTGGAGAAGATCTAGAGCAGACATCTCAGGAGGCCCAGGTGGCCTGAGTTGTCACTGAGGACTGTGAGGTGTTCAAGAAATTCATGAGCACTGAAAGGGGCTCAGAGTAACAAATGGGGTTTTTGTAGATGGGTGGGGTGCAGGATCCCTATACATGGGCAGATGGCCAAGAGCCCACAATGTGGGCAGGGTGAGAGATGGGGTTTGAGGAGGAAATACGAGACAGCCAGCCTGCCAGGTGGAGGTGGGCATGGGGAGGTGGTGCCTAGGTCACTTCTCTGGAAGCCTAAGAGTAGGACACTGTGTACAAGGAAGGCATGCTTCAATGTCCCAGGTGTACAAGGCTTAAGAGTGGTATTTAGCCTAGCACACCCTCCCCCACAGCACCCCACTCAAGCTATGGTGGGGCTTTTGGATGCTGACCTGGATAGCAGGTTCTACACAATCTCACTCTGTCTGAGACCGCTGTTTTGGGCTCCCGGAGGTGGGTGGATGCCAAAGGCAGGCAGTGCCAGTGGAGATGGGTCCTAGGGCCTTGACAGCAGGTCAGGGGAGACACAGGCTGGGATGGATGCAGGCTGGGGAGGACCAAGCACTGCTGACTTGCCTCTACCTATCTGCTCAGGGCTCCCAGGAACCAGGGGAGATGCTGCCCCGGAAGATGAAGCAGATCCTGCGGCGGGAGTTCTGGCCATCTTTTGAAAGCCTGTTGAAGCAAGGGGCAGAGGTCCTCTAGTGAACATTTAAGTTGTCATATATTAGGCTAAAGCATGACATTGCTGATAGTTGATGTTTTTGATCTACAGACCCAGCAGTTTCATGGGGTTTGGGCATTATGGTGATTTGAGATACTTCCATCTCTTTTTAACCCCTCAAAGAACTCTGGAAGTGCTTTGAGGACAGTCAGGCCAAGGATCAATCTTGAAGGGCCTCAAACCAAAGTTGTCAGGAGAGAGAGTCCCTGTGACGTGCTGGTTGAAGGAGGCTCCATGGGGAAGCCAGGCAGGCTGGACTGGGCAGTGAGATGGAGGACTTTGAGCCAGGCTGAGGGAACCAGATGTGGGTATGGGGCTATGTCCTGGGGGTGGGATGCAGTGAAGGGGATATGGAGGCCCTTCTCTGGACCCAAAGTGTCTTGTGGTATGGCACGCAGGTCTGGGGACATTCTGACAGACTGCCTCATACCTTCTCTGCCTTCTAGGTGTACAAAGGTTATGTGGATGATGCAAGGAACACGGACAATGCGTGGATTGAGACAGTGGCTGTCAGTGTCCACTTCCAGGACCAGAGCGATGTGGAACTAAAGAGGCTAAACTCTGTATGAAGCTGGGGACATGGTTCTGAGGGGTCCTAGCTTGTTCTTGAGATGCCTCAAGGCTTTTAGGGGAGAGATCTGATCTGGCCAGAACAAGAGTGGAGGCTATAAGGGGTCAGAGTCTTTGTCCAGAAGGTACTGGGCACTTGTCACTGGGGTAGGAGATAAGGAGAGACCAGAAAGCAGCAGGAGGTAGCCAGAACTGAATCATGGCTGGGGTGACCACTAGGGTCCTGTGCAGCCCTGTGACTCCAGGTCATCCTGGGAAGGCCTCATAGGTCATGTCTGGGGGAGCTGGCAAGGCCTCCCTGCTCTTATACCATTTACCTAAACTAATATTCCATACCCTTAACCCCAAACTAGGATGGAAAAGTCCTAGGAACAAAACCCAGGCTCTATGGGCAAGGCAGAACACTCAGAGAAAGGCTGTGTCTGCCTCTTACTCCTCCTTGCAAGGATGCTCAGGTGTTTTGCAGGTGTTAGCTGAATCATATCTGAAAAAGGTGTTCTCATTCTTGTGCTCTAGAACATAGTGAGCCAGTCCCAGGACAGAGCTTTAGCAAAGGACAGTGGGGGTGGCGAGGTGCAGGGGTGGCAGTGTTGGGTGGGCAGTGGGTCAGGCCTCCCTTGTCTTTCCAGCACCTGTACACCTACAACCCTGAGGTGTCCTTCCGCTGGCAAGTGGTGGACAGATGCATCCCACTGTACGCCAACCACAAGACCATCCTCCAGAAGGTGGCTGCTCTGTTTGGAGCCTTCTACTGATCAGGACTGGTGAAGGCTATGGCTGGCAGCAAGGCTGGCCCATTTACAGCCCACACTGAGGTCACAGCTTCCTGGATGCAGGGCTTACTCCTGGATTTTGGCCCTGTGTGGGTGGGTCCTGGTACCCTTTATGGTCAACTCAAGTTGGCCAATAGACAGCTTGTGAACCCAAGACTGTCAAGGTGTCTCAAGAGGAGGGCCCAAGGTGGCGGGATGGGCCTGGGTCTGGTATCCAGCAGTTCCTCAGAGTTATGCCAGCTAGGTGGTGGCCAGTCACAGGCTGGGATGAAGTCAATTCACTTCCCAGTCAACATCATCTCAAGCAGTATCTCCACCATGAGCCATGGCTAGGTTTCTTCCTCCTCTGCCTAGCCTTTGAGGACCCTGAAAGTGGACCTCAGCTGGGGCTGGGTGGTGTGTGGGCATTGCAGATTCCTACTCTGGCTGCTAGGTAAGCTTCTATAGTACAGGTGGGCCAGCCTGGCCTGCCCCAAAGCCCAAGGGGAGTTTCTGGGAGAGGTGGGTGCATGAGGAAGTCACAGACAAAAGCCAATGGGCCCAACACACAGGAGGGGTGGCAACCTTAACTCCATTAGGCCCTGACACATGGCCCTCCTGCTATCCTTCCCTGTCAGCTCTCTCTCAGGGAAGGTGAGAGGCCACTTTGATTTTGGTACCAGGGACACATCAAAGCATAACTGCCAGGAGCCACCAGAAAGGGGAATGTTTTGAGGACCCAACATTAAATCTGCTCTCTCTTGCCAGCTTGGACAACCATCAGATCTGTTTCATTGATGCACGAAGTGGGGAGGGGGCTTACAGCACAGAGCTCAGGGCTCAAGGCTGCTGTGTTTGGGCCCCCAAACCTCTCTCCTGCCAAAGACTGGGTTTCATGGCCAGTGGGCAGTCCTGTGGGCATTCTCTGGGGGTGTCTCTGTGAGTGTTCCCCATGGACGTCCCATGAGTGGCCCCTTGGGCAGTCCTTTTGGACACCTTGTAGATCTAACTCACAATTTCTTCTCTGATTTACCCCCCTTACTCTACTGGCTCCTTCTTAAATCTTCCTAACCTGGCATCCAGCATTGCTCATGGGCCACCTTCCAGGGTTTTGGATAGCCTCATGTCCCCCACTCCAAGCTCCTTGACCCATAGGTGCTAATGTCCCCCTTCAGGCACTCAGGGGCTGTATGGCTCTGGCATCTAGCAGTTCCTCAGAATTAAGGGGCACCGTAGCCATGCCAGTAGGTAATAGCCAGTCACAGGCTGGGCTGGAGTCAGTTCACTTCACAGTCAGCATCGTCTCAAGCAACCATGGGCCATAGCTAGGTTTCTTCCTCCTCTGCTTAGCCTTTGAGGACCCTGAAAGTAGACTGCCTCTCCATGGCTGCAGTCTTCCACCTGAACAAGAGCTCTCCAGCCATGATTCCTGCCCACCACCAGCTAGTCACTTACCCCACCCCTTTCTTTCTTGACCTTCGAAGACAAGCACCAACTAAGAGCTGATTGGAAATGTCAAGGTTCTAACTCAAGGGTTAGGGGTGGTCCTGGGGCCTGCACCTGTCTTCAGCACCCTTTGATACCCCAAGCAATCCTGGGTTGATGATTTGACTGCTGGATATGCTCTGCCTCATGTAGTCCCACCCATGTTGGTCCAGGTCAGGAGCCATCAGTAACCTCAGGTCCCTGATCAGATCCTAGGTCCAGTACCTGTCACACTCAGCATGTCTTGAAAAACTGTGTTTCTGGTCACCCTCCTGGCTGAATTTCTGCCTCCTGCTTCCTCCCTGTCTCCCCTATCTGGTTCTGTGGGTGCTCTAGAAATGACTGTGCTGGAGAAGAAACTGAGGGGGGGCGGTGAGGCTGTGTTAGGGAAGTCAGACCAGAGGTGGTGGCCAGGGGTGGTCACTTGGCTGAATTCTGAGGAATAAGCTCTTTCTCAAACCAGGGCTACTGAAAGTTGGATTGGCACACTGGGTTGGGGCTCTGGGTTAGGACGGCCAGTTGGGATGCTGTGTCTGAACACTTGGTCAGGGTGGTAGGCCAGTGAGCTGGGTGAGAGTGCCAGGTCAGGATTCTGGGTTGGGGCACTAGGTAGTGCTTTGGATCAGGGTGCCAGTTGTATGGAGTGGATTGTGCTTCTGTGTCAGGGGGCCAGATCATAATGCTAGGTGGGAGGGGGCATGTCAGAGAGTAGGTAAGAGTGTTGTATTAGGGAGTGGTTTGGGGTGTTGGGTCAGGGTTGTGAGTAGAGGTGTTGGATTGGTGTGCCAGGTCAGGGTGCTCTATGGGGGAGGGTAGATCAAAGGGTGGGTGAAGGTGCTGGGTCAGTGCACCAAGTGGTAGGGTATTGTATCCAGGAACTGTGTCAGAACATCAGGTTGATGTGGGGCTCCAGGTCAGGACAGCAGGTCCAGGCATCAAGTGGTAGGGGGTCTGGGAGCCAGCTCCCACAATAGCTTGGATAGGCCTGAGACTGAGCCCATCTCTGTGTGCTTGCTTTGGGCCCATTTTCAGACCAGCAGCTCCCTTTTGTGAGGGTGGTGTTGTCACCTTATTCTGTAGACAAGGGAACTGGGATTCAATGCTAAGTGATTGCTGGACCATCAGCAGGAATCAGTGAAGCCAGGACTCAACTGGGCTCCCTGTTCCTATAGCAGCCCTGGTAAGGCATCTTTAGAGCCTAAAGAGGGCATATAAAATAAATTATTGACTGGTTATTTTTTGAGATAGGCAGGACATTTCTGCTTATTGGTTCATTTAGTATCCCCTGGTTGCCCAGCAGTCAAGGTTTGTCATAGGGTACAGCTATGAGTGCCCACTCCCTGCTCCTGAGAGCCTCACAATCTGGAAAATGATGACTGACAGGCTGAGACCCTCCACCAGGGCCAGAAGTAGGAGAGGAGAGCAAGCATCCTGATAGGGAAATCCAGGGAATGTTCTTGGATGAGGGGACACAGAGTTGGGCCTCAAAGGGCAGAATATAGAGCAAGTAGGAGCTGGACAGGGCTTTGCCTGCTGGTCATCATTTTTCCCAGGATCTAGAACAGTAGCTGTTACAAAATATACTCTCAATGCATGAACAACTTTATCAGAACTGCAGGACAAACACATCTGACCTATGAAGTTCAATTAAAAAAAAGAAAGAAAGAAAGAAAGAAAAACACCTAGATATGTCTTCATGAAATTTTAGAACAATAAGGATAAAAGAGAAATCTTATTTATTTATTTATTTTAAAGCAAGGTCCCTGAAAAAGAGAAAAATAATAAAAGCTAAAATGAGTCTGGGCTTTCCCAGAATAGTACTAGAGTAGAGAAAATGTATTCCTAGTTCCAAGGGGACTTGGTTTTGTATCTAGGGTCATATACCCAGCCAAACTAGCATTGCATTGGCAGCACCCAATAAAGACATTTTAGAAATGTAACACCAAAAATGTGTTACCCACGTGTCCTTTCTGAAAAAAAATATTTCTCGAAACGCACACACACACAGCAGAAACACCCTAAAAACCAAGCTTTGTGGTCAACAAAGAAACCATTAAGATGTAGGCTATGCCTTTCAATTGTTGAGGTATATTGTAAAACATGGACTCATACATACCAGTGATCATGAAGATGGTGTTGGACCAGGCAGCATTTCCTTCTGTTGTATATAAGGGGTCCAGGAGTCAGAGCTGATTCAATGGCAACTAACAACAACAATGTAAAACAAAATTTAATATCAGTTAGAATTTCCTCAGATGACCTCACTGGTAGGTGACCGAGGAGGCTTCTGAAGGCAGTTAGCGTTCTATGAAGTTCTTGTCTTGTTCAGGTGGAAGAAATAGATGCTGACACAGATGCTAGGGAAAAAAATGTGAGCTTACATATGTAGGCAGTAAAACCTTAGGGTGACCACAAGAAGGGATAAGGTTTTCCCTTATCCCTTCTTGTGGTCACCCTAAAGTTTTACTGCCTGGTGAAGTTTTTGCTGGCGAAGAATGCTGAAAGTACCATGGACTGCAAAAAGAACTAACAGATCTGTCCTAGAGGAAGTGCAGTCAGAATGCCCCTTGGAAGCAAGAATGACCAGACTTCGTCTCACCTATTTTGGTCATGTTGTCAGAAGGGACCATTCCCTGGAGAAGGATGTCATGCTTGGTAGGGTGGAGGGTCGATGAAAGAGAGGGAGGCCTTCAACGAGATGGATTGACACGGTGGCTGCGATGATGGGCTCAAGTATAGCAGGGATTGTGGGGCTGGCGCAGGATTGGGCAGTGTTTTGTTCTGCTGTGCATGGGGTCGCTATGAGTTGGAAACGACTCGACGGCACTTAACAACAACAACAAGAAGAAGGGAAGAAATAGAGGAATGACTTTAAACCACTAGAAGAATAAAGTAGAACAATAATAACAACAAAAACATGAGGAAGAATACCAGTAAAAATGGTTAACATGAAATGCAATGGTAGGAAATAGTCAAGTATCAGTAATTTACTGTTGTTAGTTGTCATGGAGTTGGCTCTGACTCATGGCAGCCTTATATATATATATAAGAATGAAATGTTGATTGGTCCTCTGCTGTCTTCACGTTTGAGTCCATTGTTGGGGTTATTGTACCAATCAATCCATTCTGCTGAGGGCTTCCCTCATTTTTACTGACCCTCTACTTTACCAACTGTTTTGATTACTTCATGCTGCTCTAACAGAAAATATTGTAAATGGGATGGCTCTGGCATAGTGCCTAAGTCATTTGACTGCTAACCAGAAGGCTGTTAGTTCAAACCCACTAGCCACTCCTCAGAAGGAAGATTGGGCAATCTACTTCCATAGAGATACAGCCTTGGAAACCCAAGGAGGGGTTGCTGTGAGTCAAGTCAACTTGATGGCACTTTTTTTTTTTTTTTAAACAGGAGTTTATTCTCTTACAGTTTTGGAGGCTAGAAGTCCAAGTTCAAAGTGCTAGGCTCTAGGGGCTGGGTGAAAGCCCCTTGACCTTGGGCTTCAGCTCTGCCTCTTGCCCCC